TTGATTTATTTTATTGTTGTACACGACATTTGGTGAGTTTCGTTACTAGTCGCCTCATTGTTTGTGTTCTCTACTACAGTTATTTTGATATATTTTATTGTTGTACACGACATTTGGTGAGTTTCGTTACTAGTCGCCTCATTGTTTGTGTTCTCTATTACAGTTATTTTGGTATATTTTATTGTTGTACACGACATTTGGTGAGTTTCGTTACTAGTCCCCTCTGTGTTTGTCGTCACTACTACAGTTATTTTGGTTTATTTTATTGTTGTACACGACATTTGGTGATTTTCGTTACTAGTCCCCTCTGTGTTTGTCGTCACTACTACAGTTATTTTGGTTTATTTTATCATTGTACGCCTTGAATTTGTTCCGTCAGCTTAGGTTCTCTAAGTGTTTTTTTGGAAGTGCACGCTGTCTGGTGCCGTGTTTGTATTGTAGTTGTTTGTCATATTTCACAACAGTAACAGAAATGATACATCTTGTTTCATTGCCGCCTCTTCCCTGAGTGTTACTTTATAATTTAAAATAGTCTAACGTGACATTAACATACTGGAGAAACCTGTTTATGAATAATTTAATAACAGAGATACTGTAATTAGGTGCTTCAGCTGGCCGTGTAGGCCCACCCGTCTTATCGATCAGGAGTAGAGAAGGCTGGCTCACGGGAAGAAACCGTTCTGGTGTGTAACGTACGACTTAATAGTAATGGTCAAGGAAAAACGACCACACACTTCGTTACCGGTTCTCTCTCTCTCTCATGTTTTGACTACGGTGTGATATAATGCAGTTAGCTTCTAATTGGCTGGCTAGAATCAACCTCTTGTTTATCAGAGTAAGCCGGTTTATCAAATAGTATTATTCACATTTGATGACACCGTTTCTATTAGACTTGAAAATGGTCAGAAATCTTTGGTAATGTCTAAAGATAACGCATTTAGTGATGTTTAACACCTTTCAAATTTGTATATCACAGGTCAGGGGTTTTCTTTCCATAGGATAAGGGGAAGTTTTCACCCTAATCTCACCCCTCTCCCAATATCATGGTTTTATTTCTGGGTGATGATAACTTTTAGTGTGAAAAAGCTAGATATCCTTACAACTGTACTATTTTAGACAAACTTATATAGAAAAAAAAAATTGGGGGAATACAATCAGACCCTTTGTATAGGTATACCACAATAATTTGTACAACAACAATAAGAATACAACCAGACCATGTGTATAGATATACCACAATAATTTGTACAACAACAATAAGAATACAACCAGACCATGTGTATAAATATACCACAATAATTTGTACAACAACAATAAGAATACAACCAGACTGTATCTCACAACTCAGTTGTAACTGAACGTAACTTAACTGCATTACATCGTACCAAAGTTAGATGTTAACGTTGCCAGTTAGTTTGTTAGTTGATAGTTAGTTTTTCTCAGAATGAACCATTCTGCTCCTTCTTTTTAAAATGTTCCGAGGGTGGAGTCATGTCCAGGACATCTCTGGAATGTAGTTGCACTTTTGGTACTCTAACACATCAATAACGAAATAAAATATTCTATCACTGCCAGAAAAAAGATTGTTTGTGTTAACCCCTTCTAACTCTAATTCCATCTATAACCTGATGTCTAAAGATTGTTTGTGTTAACCCTTTCTAACTCTAATTCCATCTATAACCTGATGTCTAAAGGTTGTTTGTTTTAACCCCTTCTAACTCTAATTCCATCTATAACCTGATGTCTAAAGGTTGTTTGTTTAAACCCCTTCTAAATCTAATTCCATATATAACCTGATGTCTAAAGGTTGTTTGTTTTAACCCCCTTCTAACTCTAATTCCATCTATAACCTGATGTCTAAAGATTGTTTGTGTTAACCCCTTCTAATTCTCATTCCATCTATAACCTGATGTCTAAATGTTGTTTGTTTTAACCCTCTATAACTCTGATATCTAAAGGTTGCTTGTTTTAACCATTTATAACCTGATGTCTAAGGATTACTCGTTTTAACCCAATTTAACTGTAATTCAAAGTTTGTTTAAATATTTTATAACCCTGGTTGTCGAAGGCTGGTTTTTATCCCTTATCTGATAAAAGTATTTTAAAGTTTTTCGAACATGCTAATGCTAATACCTCTGATGCTTAGTATCGAAATATCTTTTCTGCCGTTTCACATAAAGTTCACTTTAATTACTTCTAATTCATTAACACCGGTTTCTAACGGCTGTTTTAATGCTGTTCTTTTATCGCTATAGTGGAACCGGTGAGGTTTCTGATAAGCAGCAAGCATCACGGAGAAATTCCGTTTCGAGTTCAGATTACAGATTCGAAGAAAGGAGAAGCAGTCCTCGTAGCCGAAACGGCTCTGAACTGTGAGAAAAGAAAGACTTACAAGTTTGACATTGCCGCTGTGGGCCGCAACGGCGAAGTTTCTGAAAAGTGAGTTGTTGTTGATCCTATTACTGGTTTTGATAATATTAGAGAGTTTCTGGTTTTGGTTTTGTTCTTTGCTGTGAGACGACTTTTAGCCGCGCTGTGCAAGGTTTTGAGTAAATTTCTAGAGGTTTAATCCAGATTAATTTGAAGATAAAAATACCACCAGGCAGTTTCCGAGTTTAAAAAATTCATAAAATGACAAGTTCTGAAAAAAAAGTAAGAACAAAAATGGTGTTTCCAAAAGTTTACACACTTTTTTTTTTCACTTGTGAAATATTCATTTTGCTTTTCATTCGAAGAGAATACACAACATAATGTTTTCATCAAGATTCAGGTTGAAAAAACGTTAACTCGTAGACATCATCTTACTATAATGGACGTAGCGTGTGTATCAGTATCTATGTATGTAACCAAAACTCCTGCGCCATCTATTGATTGATACCAAAAACAAAATTCCATAAAAAATTTCCCACTTTGGGTATTCAAGGTTCAGACAATTATAAAAATAACTACTGTATGTACAATAACCATTTCTTTATCATAGAACGCAAGTTTAAATAAAAATACTCTCCTTACAACAAGAAGACGACTTTCACTAGGACTGTACGTGAGGGTTTGATTATATCTTTAAATATATTTTGAGCTCTGTACATTGAATCATTTTGATGCAATGAGTTGCGTATAACTAAAGAGCACAATCAGAACACTCTTCCCGTTCAGCACTTTCCAGAAGAAAATCCTTTTTTACAAAATGTTACCTTCTTTATTTTATTTTTCAGTGAGGTATAAATACTACGATCAATAATTAGTAGCACAAACAGTCGCCCTACTGGTGGTGTTTCTGTTAATAATTCTATAAAGCCCTTACCCCATTTTAACATATTATGACATCTCTAGAATTTGTTATGGTATTGATAAATCTAATGTATCATTCCTTTCTCTGACAGTCGTTTTGTTAATTTCGCTGCTAAAGACCTCTCAGTGGTAAGTCTGCAGGCTTAAGACGCTAACAATCGGGTTTTGATACCCATGGTAGGCAGATCACAGATAACTCATTCTGTAGCTGTGTGCTCAACAACAACCAAACCTTACGTCTAAAACAGTTATCACTGCTATAAACCTTCTGGTGGTTTCACTGCTATACACCTTCCAATGGATTTCATTGTTGTATAACTTGGGCGTCTGTTGCTAACGTTCCTTTTCCTGTGATAATCTCTTAGTCATTTTTATTTTTATATGAAACATTATTCTGAACGATTGCCTCTTTAAGGTGGAAGAGGTCGGGAATATCTTTGATATTATGATATATGTGTGTGTGTAAAAACGCACATTTTAACGTAATGTTTCGTCGTTACGGTGTTCGTAACGATAAGCCTAACTGAACTCTCGTGTTTTAGCGTGACAGTACACCTGACGGTTGAGGATGTTAATGAGTACGCTCCAGTCTTCCTTCAAGATTCTTACATCGTGGACGTCGATGAAGAACGGATGTACAACAATATCGTCCAGGTGAAAGCTGAGGACAGAGACTGCACACCGAAATACAGCGACATCTGTAAATACGAGATTCTCACCCCAGATCAACCCTTCACCATAGATTCCGAAGGTAAGGGTTAAGTTTTTACTTTTAAAGAATTGTCCTAAGAATAAACATAAACCTTGTTTCTATTATAAATAATTAGGACGTGTGGCATACTTATAATTATAAAGAGTATTATGTGTAAATAGAAGGTATTAAATATATATCTTACTAGATGGAGCCACTTTCGCTTTTTTTTTTTTATCTCCGAAATAAAATTTACGCACTTTTCTGTGAATTTTCTACTTCCTTTGGTATGTATATGTATTCAACATTTTGAAGAAAAATGTTTTCATTAAATATATAATAACTTCAGGTAAAAATCATTGTATTTAAATACATTAAAAGCTTATAAAAGAAACAAGTAAAATCGAATTTTTGAAGTGATTGGTGGAGAGTCGGGTGATGTCACGGATTCATTGTTTACTGATTGGAGGAGAGAGATTACCCACAAGGTTAGTTCCACTTCTTAAAAATTCAGGAAGAAATAAATGACGTTATAAGGAAGCTCGCTTTGAGAACTGTTACGTTTACACTTGAAGTAAAATGTTATTTTTTCTTGTAGATAAATGATGAACTATACATTTAATGACGTCGGTTCATAGTTTGCCCAGTGTTTTTGGTGTTAGACTGTCATTTATAGTGTTAAGGCATAATATGTTTACTGAATTGTTTGGTGTGGTCACTTAGCGTCGTGTGACATTTAGATAAAGACTTGGTTTTGGTTTTACCATTAAACATGCTACATATTTTTATTCAATTGGACAGTTTTTATTAAATGTTACAAAGCTGGTGTCCGGTTTGGTCCACCCTGCCCCGAGTGCAAAAAATGCACAATTTAATTAAAACAATTGTAGAAAATATCTAGTATTCGTTCTTTCACGCATTTTTAAGTACTTAAGTGTTTTAGTTATTTGATTTTATTTATAGAATAAAAAACATAATTTTGTGTTGGTTTTATGATTTTGTTAACAATGACAATAAAGTACTCGTATAGCCATCTAGGAAAAAAGTCGAAGTAGTTTTGAACAGAATAGAGTTAATTTCAACCTTATAACTTCAATACTAGTGTTCCTTCCTCTGTGACTCGGCAGTAAATCAGAGGGCTAAAATCTGGTTTCGATACCAGTTATGGGCAAAGCCGAGGTAGCTCATTGTTTAGGCTTGCGCTTAACAACAAACAATAGAAGTGTAGTTTTATCGCTTTTAGCCAATCACTGTTTCTCAACGTTGGTTGTCATGTAATTGTCTATATCTCAGTTTCGGCAAGTCATAGGCTAGTTACCCAAACACGTAATGAATATTCTATTTTTTGTTTCTGCTCTTTTCAACCGTATAAATTATATAAATGGTTTTCCAGTTCAGCGAATATTCGCGAAATAAAATAGAAAAACTTGTTGACATTTTACTAGAAAAAAATATATTTCTGAACAATCTTCGCGAGAAGTACGTTTCTGATTTTTTAAAGCTTGCTTTATTATCTATTTATTATTTTATTGAATTATAATGTTGCAGTGTGATAGGAAAATAAATATTTTCATGAAAAAAGATGAGGTAGGCTTAGTTGTATCATTTTGCACTTCGCCGTGTTAAGTTTCATTTCGCCAACAAAACCTCTGTATTAGGCCTTGTTTACGTTAGACCTTATTGGCTAAAGTAACTATTTGAATGGGATATGTAAATATATAAATAAATATAAAGCGGATTTAAAACTTACTACATATATTAAATGAAATATTTTGGTGAATAATTTAAAAACAATTGGGCTTCTTTTTAATTTTGGTACATTAATAAAGTTGTTTATATGTCACGATTATTCAAAAAGTTTTCCACACACTGCCAAATGTAAACCCGTGTTTACAGCCATTATTGCCCGGATGCGTCGATTTGACGCACTTATTGTATGGTAGAAAGAAAAAACTACCTCATGAAGTAGTTTGAAACTTGAGGTAAACTTTCGACAGGTTATGCAGCTTGTGCAAAATAAAATATCTTGTTTTTATGTGTGAAATTTCTATGAACTTGTAGCTTTGGAAATATGTTATTATGTTATGTTTTTAAGAAAGAAAATTGATTTCCTTTCGTGTGGAGTTTGATTGTCAATTTTTATGTCTTCCTATAAAGCTTTTATTTTAACAAACTGTAAATATTATGTTTGTTTTAATTCGAAAAACAACGCACTCAGTTTCATCGTGTTTACAATAGGTGGCCTTCAGTAAAAACATCACCATATGCAGGAACTCATTTTATATTCGTTTATATAGATATACATATATTACATTTTTTATAATTTTCTTGTATTGCTATACTACACGGATCGTGTATGGCTTTGTATTGTTGTATCTAAGCAACAGTGATCTCAGGCTTTGTATTGTTGTATCTAAGCAACAGCGATCCCAGGCTTTGTATTGTTGTATCTAAGCAACAGTGATCCCAGGCTTTGTATTGTTGTATCTAAGCAACATTGATCTCAGACTTTATATTGTTGTATCTAAGCAACAATAATCCCAGGCTTTATATTGTTGTATCTAAGCAACACTAATCCCAGGCTTTGTATTGTTGTACCTAAGCGACAGTAATCCCATTAGTAAATTAAACACTAGAAGCATTGTTTGGCGTTTCAGTCATTTTAAGAGCAGCATAAATCTCCCTCGAAATACATTATCGTGATCATATGATGCCCCTTTAATAATTGGAGTTTGTCCCCGACGTTTTTCCACTCTTAGCTACCTCAACCAGTAAACGTGAGGAAGTCGATTCACCTCATCGATCCTCCCTAACAGCCATGGAAGAAGTGACGAACCCTTGATACACTGATTCAGAGACTAAGGAAGTCAATGGAGAAACAAATTAAAGTTGTTTAACGAAGAGGAACTTTTAAAACATCTGTTACGTACTGCAGAAACGATACTTTATGTACTACAGGAACAATATGTTATGTACTACAGGAACTATATGTTATGTACAGCAGGAACTGTAGGTTATGTACTGCAAGAACTATATGTTATGTACTGCAGGAAGTGTAGGTTATGTACTACAGGAACAATATGTTATGTACTACGGGAACTATATGTTATGTACTACAGGAACTATATGTTATGTACAGCAGGAACTGTAGGTTATGTACTGCAAGAACTATATGTTATGTACTGCAGGAACTGTAGGTTATGTACTACAGGAACTATATGTTATGTACAGCAGGAACTGTAGGTTATGTACTACAGAAACTATATGTTAAGTACAGCAGGAACTATGTGTTATGTACAGCAGGAACTGTAGGTTATGTACTACAGGAACTATATGTTATGTACTACAGGAACAATATGTTATGTACTACGGGAACTATATGTTATGTACTACAGGAACTATATGTTATGTACTACAGGAACTATATGTTATGTACAGCAGGAACTGTAGGTTATGTACTGCAAGAACTATATGTTATGTACCTCAGGAACTGTTGTTATGTACTACAGGAACTATATGTTATGTACAGCAAGAACTGTAGGTTATGTACTACAGAAACTATGTTATGTACAGCAGGAAGTGTAGGTTATGTACTACAGGAACTATATGTTATGCACAGCAGGAACTGTAGGTTATGTACTATAGAAACTATATGTTATGTACTACAGGAACTATATGTTATGTGCTGCAGGAAGTGTAGATTATGTACCTCAGGAAATGTGTGTTATGAACTACAGGAACTATATGTTATGTGCTACAAAAAGTGTAGATTATGTACTGCAGGAAGTGTAGGTTATGTACTACAGGAACTATATGTTATGTACAGCAGGAACTGTAGGCTATCTACTACAGGAACTGTGTGTTATGTACTACAAGAAATGTAGGTTATGTACTAAAGGAACTGTGTGTTATGTACTACAAGAAATGTAGGTTATGTACTAAAGGAACTGTGTGTTATGTACTACAGGAACTGTAGGTTATGTACTAAAGGAACTGTGTGTTATGTACTACAGGAACTGTAGGTTATGTACTAAAGGAACTGTGTGTTATGTACTACAGGAACTGTAGGTTATGTACTAAAGGAACTGTAGATTATGTACTACAAGAAATGTAGGTTATGTACTGCAGGAACTGTAGATTATGTACTGCAGGAACTGTAGGCTATCTACTACAAGAACTCTATGTTATGTACTGCAGGAAGTGTAGGTTATGTACTGCAGGAAGTGTAGGTTATGTACTGCAGGAACTATATGTTATGTACTACAGGAACTCTATGTTATGTACTGCAGGAACTGTAGGTTATGTACTACAGGAACTGTGTGTTATGTACTACAAGAAATGTAGGTTATGTACTAAAGGAACTGTAGATTGTATACTGCAAAACTTTTATGTGAACCTTATGTAATGTTACATGAATTGTATGTTTTTGTTACCTATTCATGTACCAACGTACGAACACTTATAGTTGTTACTTAGTTTGATCAATCCCTGACAGTTTTTATGTTCTTATATAGATGTAGTCCTGAGAGCTGCTGCTTCGCCAGTCTAAGCTTAAACACCAACCAGTAGCTGAGAAAACGTTGTCTACATAAGGTTTAAATATTACTGTTTTCTCAATATGGCGATAGGCTTAACATATTTTTGCCAGTACATTACTTATAAAATCACTATCACGATATTTACATATATTAAAATAGTCTTAAACAAAAAATGGCTTCCCAAATAACATTGTTGATAACGTCATGTTTAATTATTTGAATTAAGTTAATAACGCCCATTAATCTAATTGCCATTTACTGAAAAACGCGTAGAGTTTATCCGCCATATTGAAATACGAATTTTTTTGTAAAGATAAAATGTCACAATTGAAAACATCCTGCGTTGTGTATTAATTTAAATGTT